TATGATTATTATTTAACATTCATGGAATAAAGAATCTATGTCTTGCCTATTAAACAAAATCTATATATTGTGGTAATTAAATAAAGAAAAGATAAATATAATCAAAAATGAAATTTTAAAATGAAATATCTAAGGCCACATAAAATTATAAATAAACATTAATAATTTTAAATGTTTCAAATATTGGTGAATTTACAAATGTTTATCAAGATTTTAATTAAAACAAATGAATATTTTAAATAATTTTGATTGAATGAATTGAATTGAATTGTTTTAATATTTTTGATATTTTTCATAAACCGACGAATATATTTGAAAAATTAGATATATTATACAGACATAAATTTAAAAAAAAATAATTTGAAGTCTTAACTATTAAATAATTACTTTCATATTATTTAAAATAAATTTTAATTAAAACAAGCTAAAGATAACAATGATTCTTACTATTAAAACAATGGCAAATCATTTTCAAGAAATTTTCATCTATCTATATATAAAATATATGATGTAAAAAAATGCTTGAAAAAACAGTAAATTAGACAAATGAAATAATTTAAATTTGCGATGAAAATTATTGTATAGTTAATAGAGAAGAAATAATGATAAATATTTTTTTCGTTCTTTAAAATAAAAGATGAAGCTCTTAAAGCATTCAAAATACCTTTTTTTTGTATAGTTATGAATTATTAATTAGTCTATATCAGATTTTGTAACGTCTTAAAAAAACATATCAATCTTATTGATTATATAGATATATAATAAAAAATAGATATAACCGAATTTTATACATGAATATTGATCTCTTCAGAATCTGTATTAATAAAATTTGTAGCTTCACTTTCGATTGGTACAGACCCGCCCGAATTCGATGTTTGTGAATTTGTTCGTATATTGCAATTTGTAATTTGAACAACAGGGGCTGGAAATTCTTCAACATCTGTGTATAAATTTACCGTATGTGGTTTAGTACTGCTCACAGAACATTCCAAGTCCGGTAACTCGCCTAATTAAATAATTAAAATTATCTCTTTTTTTTATTCAATATTTTAATCATTCATATTGATTGAATAATTATAACTATATAAATATATTCAATAATTAATCCTCAATAAATACTTCAAATACTAATCAACAATATATCATATTAAATTAAAACATAATAACAGGAATAATGAGAAGATAAATAATTTAAAAATAATTCTTACCATTAATACTATGAATATCAAACGGCCTGAAAACAGTGCCACTAGATGGTTCTCCAGCACTTACACTAGCTTCTTCATCTGTTGTATCTAATAATTCTTCAGAATCAGAACTAGTATTGAAGTGAATCATATCATGTTGTCTTGTTTGCGATCTTCTGGCACGATTAAAAGGATTCTCTCTCTGTCGTGAAAATGTTCCACCTTGAGTACCTAATAAAATATTTTTATTTCTCTAAAATATAAGTTAATGATTCTATATCTTTTAATGAGAAATTAAAGATTTCTTTTTTATACCTTGATGGCCTTCTCGAATCAAAGGTGTCGTATCGTCGGCATCCGAATCACTTTCGTCAGTAACAACTTGTTCATCCGCTGCAAAAACTTTCCGTTTACAAACAGGACAAACCCTACGATTTTTTGTTAGCCAAGGGTCAATACATTTTGTATGATATGCTAAAAATAAATAATATATTATTTATGATATAAATATTATTATAATATTTATATATAAAATATTTCAAATTTTTCAATATACTAACCACATATTGATACATACTAACCATGTGCACAAGGTAAAACTCTTAATTTTTCACCCTCAGCATAGTCATCTAAACAAATAGCACATGTTTCATATGGATCACCTTTTGTATACTTGTGCGTAGGAATCTTTTTCAAACTTGAATTAGGTAATCTATGTCTTTGTTGCCTTCTTCTATCTTTAATACACCTAACAATCTATAATTTATAAAAAAAAGGTTTTATTATATTTTTTTGCAATAAATATAGTAATTTAAATGTTATTTATTAATTTTAATTTTATTCTGCAAATCTCACCATAAAGATAACCATGATTAGAAAACATATCCCTACGACAATAGCAAAAGGCAAAAGTAAATGTGTTATATTAAATGGAGTGTCATCATTGATTAATACAAAATATAATTCATCATATAAATAATTTTCTTTAATAATCAATCCTGTAATTTCACTGACAAATACTGATGGTATTATTATTCCTGTAGGATCTTTAGCTAACATTGGTTCTGTAATAAAATACATACATATTTATACATTTCTATTATATATTTTCATTTATTAATTGGCCTATTTAAATACTGAAATTGTATTATGCAAATATTTTCAATGAAATAATCATTAAATCTATAATATTTTCTTATTTTATTTTAATAAGAATTACCTAGTTTGTTGCTGTTTACATTATGTATAATTACAGCATCATAACCAGCTTTTTGAGCCATTCGTACTTTTCTTTCAAAACTACAGTTATAGCGAGCAATTAAAGCTATCCAATTACCAATATAACTCGTACTATTAGGAGGACCCTGTATTTCATGACATGCTGTAGGTGGTTCTGCATATACAACCATCCCCTAATATAAAATTTTTCATAAACTATAATATATATTTTTTTTCTAATTTGTTTATTATATTATTCTATTTCATTTCACTATTAATATTGGATTATATTGATAATATTTTACAAATAAACTATTCACATTTATATATTTTACAAATAAATTCTATTCATATTTATATATCAATTAAAATCATACTTTTTAATTTAACCTTTAATTTTTTTTACAAATTATTTCAATTTTTTTTCTAAAATATATAATATAATATAGAGAGAAAATTATACAAATATTTCTTATAATTATAGATTAAATACCTTAATCCCTTCAGATGGTATCAAACCTCCAAATCTGGCAGGCATGTCTCTAAATTCTTCTTCAATTTGATGTCTTGCAGCCGCAGAAAATACTAAAATATCTGCTCTATTGCACATTACACAAAAGACAAGAAACATAAGCCACAGTTGAAGTTGGTGGCTTAAACAACACTGTTTCATGTTTTAAAATATCAAATTGTCTTGTCAACCTTAATATTTTATTAAAAATTTGTTTAATTGCTTCATTATATATTACATTTAGTTCTAAAATATTAATATATCCATGAACAAAATAATGCTAGCCTGTTAAAATAATTATAATATTTTCAGATTATATGTTTATATTTTATATGTAATTTAATATTATTTTATATATTTTATGTAAAATTACACTTAATCATTTTCATTTTTATAATTATTCAATGCTAATAACTAATAATATCATTAAGTAATATTTTTTTCTTTATATAACAAAAACCTTAATTCATTCAGTAAAATAAATTTTCAAACTAATTAATAATAAAGTTAAAGAATATGATACATACACAGTAGTACTGTGATTTTTAACCATTCACAATATATTGTTTTAAACGATTAATTATCGATTATTCAATAAAGTATTCATAAACAAAAAATACAAACATTATTTTTTATCAGAACAAAATTGAAAAATTATATATTTAATGTGCAAAGGACATTCGTAAACACATTCAGTTTGATATATTGGTACGAATAGATAATAGAAGCATAGGAAATGATGATGAATCTCTCAAAGTATATCAAAATGTACAAGATATAATAAACAAATAAATAATTAATATATCCAAAAACAATATGCACATATAAATGAATATATACGCAACATCTGCGTAAATTTAACCCTGTAAATTTTCTTGTCAATAGGTAATAACACTCAAATGTAAATACGTAGATAATTTCGATACGTACTAGTATTTTTCTATCTTTTTTCATCCAGAAAAACACATTAAGTAAGACACACAGGGGACGTTGAATCGGTCGTACGTGCATATACATGCATTTACACACGTAATATTGTAGATAATATGAATGTGCAGTAAGATGTACACCGTTTACACATTGCACTTCATTTGTATCTTCTTTAATTCGTTTTCTACAAATTTCAGGTTATAACATTATAAAACGTTCTAAATATTGCACATCAATAAAAATATAAAATCCTTACGGCGATACTAAATTAACTGCGATGTGATAAATCCATTAAATAAAATTTGCAAGTAAATGTCAAAAATTTAGTTTTACAAATGAATCATTTATTCATAATTATTTCAATAAAAGTAATTCGAAGTTATATGTATGTATATATATATGTATATGTATATTATATATATATAATGCGAAAATCACTTAAACAATAATTTTTTTAATATAAAAAAAACTGTAACTTGATCCCTGGAGTCATGCGGATGTCATACATACATTTTTTTCTCTATTTTCTTGTGGAACAATCTGATAATGCCATGTCGGACGTATCTATATTATACGCAATGCAAGCGTTAAATTTAAATTTAAGTAAATCAATTTATAACTCATCAATTTTTACGTCATACGATTAATATTTTTTAAATTCTAGATTTAATTAAATTTTTCTTAAAACTTTCATTATTGCTATATTTGATTTATCAAAAAAATATTAATATTTAATATTATATTTACTTAAAATATTTTATATATTGAAAATGTTATGTAAATGTATATATAAAAATGTTTTATATATCGGTTTTTTCTACTATTTGCTAGATATTTTGTTTACTTTTATTGATATATTCAGATACAATATATATATTGTTTTATTTAAAAATAGAACAATTGTATCCATTGAATAAATTAAGCATATAATATGATTTCCATATAAAGTATATTTAAAGTATTCTTATATAATTGTTACATTAGACAAGATATGTATTACATCAAAACAACTTTAAATAATCACAGGCAAAATTGATTGCATAATAAAATCAATTAAGAAAAAATATTTTTCTTTTTGAAATTGTAAAATTTATACTTATTATACTTACAATTTCTTTACTTACTAACTTATTACATTTTACATTAAAATATTATGCATACGCATATATAATCTTTAATATTCTTTAATAATACATAATACAATGAAATTTAAATTGATTTAAACATGATTTATGATTTATAAAGTCAATAGAAATTATTCAAGAAATAATTATTGAATATGATATATTACATATTTTGCCTGAGTGACTTCAAAAAGATTATATTTTACAACCTAATAATTTTGATTTATAATATTCTCAACATTAATGTTACTTATAAATTACGATTAAGAATATATATAAGAATGATAAAATATTGTATAATATGAAAAAAAATTAATTAAAAAAAAAAAAAAACAAGAATCCAGTTTATATATCAAAATATGGTAAATAAAAATATGTATTGAAGGCACTCATTGGCAAAATCGTTTACATTGAAAGAAATATTAAATTTACATCGCATCAAATTGCTTTCTATAATATTTTAATAATTAAATAAAAAAGAAAGAAATATATTACTTTGATCCCATCATAATTTTCCAAGGGAAAATCTTTCATTCAGATTTTGTGCTTTATCAATAATAGCATTCTTTTTACTCTGATTAAATCGATTAATTCGTAAGTCAATATCTCTATCAAATGGTCTTCTAATTGTTTGCCCTAGTTTTTTTTTCTTCTTTCTAAAATTGTTATCAAAATATTATATAAAAAAAATATGTAAAAAAAAAAAATAAAATAAAATAAAAAATCACTATTAAATAAATAAATACCAATTTTTTTTTTCGGAGTTTATCTTGATGTATTTCTAAAAGTGATTTTTTCGCATTTTTTATTTTTCTGATAATCAGTTTCATCATTTTCAATAGATAAGTCTGTAATTAATGTTCTGTCATTATATAATTTTTTTTCTTCCTAAAACATGAATATTTAATATTATAATATAAAATATAATATTAATTTATATTTAGTAATTCCTTTTTACATAATAGTAAATATAAAATATGTATTTACTCGTTTTCGTTTTTCAGCTTTTTTTGCAGGAGTATCTGTCCAACATGATCTATCAGACATATCTGGACCTGCCCTCATCCGAAATTTTCGTGATGTTAATCCTAAATTATTGATTTGATTTGGTGGTAACTCAGTCATCCATTCTTCCCGTTGATTTAATATACTATAATCCTAAAATATTATATTTTAATTGTCTTTAATTATTTATCTTATTATTAATCTTAAAATATTTTTACTATAGTGAATATTAAGATAATTTATTTTACCTCATCTTTCTGTTCATTTTTAATTTGCTGAGCTCTTTGTTCTAATTGCTTATATACAAAATTATTTTCTAATGCTGGATGATTAGCAGGCAATGGACCTATACCATCTTCATCTTCAGATTCTATTTGATTTATTTCATAGTTATGAAATAACATTGCAGTATTTGGAAGAATAGGACCTATTATTTTTGTATTTATGTCATCATTATATTTCTGTTTTAATAAATGTGGTGGTAATGCTGGACCAAAAACAATATCCAAGTATGAATCATCTTCTTGCATTATATTATCTTGACTGATATTATTTTCTGTATCTTTTTCTATTTTTTCATTTATATTTCGTACATCATTTTTTGGTAAACAAGGTCCTATAAAATCTTTATTTGATTCCATATTATTGGAAGGATCAGTTAATAATTGCGGTGGTAAAACCGGTCCATATGTTGTAATTTTCTCACTAATATCTGTTGCTTTTACAGAATTGCAATTATTGAGATGCAAGGAAGTTGGTTCAGAGATGTACATATTATTTTCTTCCAGTGAAGTACATATTACTTCCCTACTATTTAAATCAATTATGTTTTTCCTCGATTCCATCAATATAGGTGATGTAGTATTTAATAAGATATCTGAAATGGTACCAGAATTATTATTACTGGAACCATAAAATAAATTATTCTTCCTTGCATTTACCTTTGGTAATTTCTCCATAGTTTCGATTTCTATCACATTTTTTGATGAATCATTATCTTCATTGTTAAAATATCTTTTCTTTGAATTTTTATCATGTAATTGTAATAATGAATTTTTATTTTTTACATTTGAAATATCAGTTATATTTTCACCTCTTTCTGATAGAATGTTGAATTCAGATAAATTTAATTCATTATATTCTTGATTTTCCATTTTTTCTATTTCTCTCTTTGTTAATGATTCATTATTGCAATAATCCTGTTTTATATTTTTGGATAAAAATTTTCTTTCATCTTCTTTCACCAATATTTTTTTATGAATATTATATTTTTCAAATTCTTCTCGAAACTTACTATCTTCAGATCTTATTTTACAGGCCTGACTACTTTTATCACGATTTCTATCACAAGTATGATGTTTATTATATTTTTCATGACATTTGTTTTTACATTTGTCACTTTGTGATCTATCATTTTCATTTCTGCTATGACATCGTTCTTGAGATTTATTATTTAGATGTTCATTTCGATCTTGACTTTTGTGTTTCTTTGTATCTTTTGTTTTGTGTTTCGAAGATAATGAAATACTTTTAGTATTTAAACTAATATCCTTTAAATTTTTATAATCTTTATTATTTTCACGTCTTGAATTTTTTGTTTGATTTTTTGAATATTTAGTAGAATATTTAGAATCTCTATTATCATTATTCAATTCTTTCGAATGTTTATGTTCTTCTCTATTATAGTTACGTTTAAATTTATCTTTTTTATTTTTATGCTCTATATTACTATAGCAAGATTCTTGTTGTGATTTCAAAGTTGATAATTTTCTCATTTTTGTATCCAATTGTATATTATCTTTACGGGTAGCTTCAAAACGAAATCGTCGCCCATCATCACTGTCTTGACTCTCAGAATCAGAATCCATTGTAGTCATAATTAATTACTGAAAGCAGCATAAATTTAATTCCTTAATATGTCTATAAAAATAATATAACATATATATGCACACACGTATGCGAGCACACATATCGCGCGCGCGCGCACACACATACACACGCGCGCACACACACACACACACACACACACATATATATATAGTATGCATTCTAATTATCTTATTTAAAAGAATGGGACAATATTTTATAAAAATACTTTTAAAAACTAAGGTAAATAATACCTAGAATAAATAATTATAATTTAACTAAATAACAACTTTATTTAAAACACATTTGTATAAAACATAGTACATATGACAGAATTAAAGTATGAGTATGATAATTACTATTCTACACGTTTGTCTGTTTCCTTTGATTGAGTTTCGTTCTTCACACTTTCCATTATTCTTTTAACTTTACTTTGACTTGACTCTAATTTTGGAAGGGAAGTTATCTGTGGACTTGTTTGTAACATCTTCATTATTTTTGTTGTACTGTATTGAATAGATTTCACAAATCCAGCAGTTGCAATTCCTTTTAGACTTTGAGAAATACTAGATCTCCATATAATTTCTTTTAAACATTCTTCCAATATTTCTCCACAATCAGGATCATAAGCTATTGCACGTAAGCAATCTTCAGTATCTTTTGATCTTGGACCTTGAGACCATGCTCTAACAAGATTAACTTGAGGTATTCTTGGTAACTGATTTAAGTGATGTATTTTTGTTGCAGGACTTATATCTTGATGGCATATGACAGCCATTTTATCAGATTTTGGAATATCAACATAATTTTCAAAATGTTGTAAAATTGGACTATATAATTGTTTAAAGTATGTCAACTGAGGCAGAACAATGTTATTAATTTTTTCTTTATTTTCACCAAAAGTCATTCGAAAGTCACCATTATAGGATAAGCCAGTAATAGTTTTATAAAAATCAATTTCTGTAAAATGCTGTGGAAGTAATAATAAAGCTGCATGTACAGCTGAATGTAAATTTTGTACTAAAGCTGTAGTTAATTGAGAATATTCATTTGGTTCCATAAGTATTTTAACTGGTTTATGTAATCTTCCTGCTAAATATATATCAGTCCAATCTAATAAATCTTCTACTAATGATACTTCAGAAACGACACCATATTTAATAGTATATCCTTCTTTCATTTTAATTAATGTATTATAATATACTTTAGCACCCCATTTTTCTTGTACATTAGTAATTACTTTATGTCCAAGAAATCTTAATGGTTGAGCATAATGTTTAGGATTAAGTTTTAAGTTTTCAGCATGCCATTGATTTACATTACGAACAACAAATATAAGATCCACCATAGTGTTAGATTCATTGTTTAATTGTTTAAATGCTGCAGATCCATATGCAAAACAAAACTTTATATTTCTTGGAAAATATTTAAGTATATCTTTTAATTGATGAATTCCTATCAATTTTTCCATTATATTGAGACATCAACAATACAATCAAATTTTATGTAAAAGCACTCAATAGCTTTAATTCTGCATAATACTTCTTTATCCTCAAATATTAAACTAAAAATTTTTATGTAATATCATTACATATGCTTGTTTTTTTCTTGCCAGAGTACAGTTGATTTGTTTTGTATTATCAATATAAATTAATTAAAATTATAAATATAATTAGAAGAAAGAATACTGCAAAATAATAAAGTATAGCACTTGAAATGAAATAAATATTTTAAGTTTAAATCTTTTTAAAGTTTCAATAAAAAATTTATAAATTTTTGGACATTTGTAATCAACTGCGCTCTTTGTTAACAAAGATTCATTCTACTTAACCTAAAACTTTTTAATATAAATTGTTTAATCAATATAATCACTTACTAAATCGATGAAATATTGTATATCGAAGATTTGTTATGATGTATCAATTTCAATAATATAGTTAATTTAAAATAAACAGACATAAATAAACAACGAAATTATAATATTTCAATATGCTTTGCATTGAATCTAGAAAAATATGACTACTTAAATTGTACTTACATATATTTAGTACGTATAATCTGATTTACATTGGCTAACATAGAAATTTGTGCTCTGATTTCATTGAATTGTAATCAATTAATTATTTCAATATATTAATTTATTTTAGTTACATATTTTAATATATTTTTATAATTTAATTTTTTTTGTATCAATAATATAATTAATTATTTTAATAATTTTGATTTTTTTTTAAAAAAGTTTCATTATATTTGATAATATATCTATGTATATTATGTTCATCATGGCATATAATTGAAAATAAACAAAACCATGTGATCAAAATCTAGGGGAATTAAGGTCAAATTCATAATTCTAAAATATGAAATAACTATTTTTCTTCATATTATAAAATTTTTCATGGAATTATTTGTCAATAAGTAATGTAAATTATACAATAATAAACACAAATTACTATTAAGATTAAAAATCATAAATACAAACATTTTTATAAAAATAAACAATTGATAAAAAAAATTATGATAAGCATCAACGTATTTTGCGCAACATTTCGATTTCAATTTCGTCTGTCAAATAACTAAAGTCAACATTTATCAGGAATTTTGGTAAGTTGATTCGTTCATTTCTGGTATTTTCAATGAATATAATACACAAGATAATAAAAAAGATTCGTTCATAACTCTTCCAATTTCCACTTATGCTTAATTTCTTTATTATATATTTTTACATTTTCGTTATATATTTTTTTCAAAATTGGTTAAAAAATTATTCACTTTAAAACAACAAATTAAAACAAAAAATTATTTATAACTTTGAAAATATTCATTTTTTGAATTATGTTTATTGAAACTTTTTTTTTTTAATAAATACTATTTATCCTAGAATTTATAATTCTTTTTTTTAATCACCCTGTATATAAAACTTATTCATCCTAGTGCATTTTTTGATGCAACTTCTAGTATGTACAATGTAACTGCTAATTCCAGATTGGTTATACTTTATCTAGATTTAAAATAATATATATCATAAAGTAATATTTCGTAAGTATATTTCAAAATATATTGTGCACTATCTGTTATTTATATATGCACATCTAAATTTGACAATGTGGAGTGCATAATAAAATATAATTGTAAAAAATTGTAAAAAACGTATGATTGAATTAGTGATTTTAGATTGTACAACTGATATTATTTAAATAAAGAATATTATTTAATTATATTTATTGATATATTATAAGAAAGAGATTTATTTAAATAAAATACTAGGTATTGTACTAAAATTTATATAATTTACAAATTATTCTGTAGAATATTAATTAATAACTTTATATATATTATGAATAATATAAACAAATTATTATAGATATAGAAATTAAATATGGAAATTGATGAAAATAATGCAACGGCTTCAACGGATACACCAATGGAAGTTGATGATGATACTTCTGGAAAAAATAGTATTATGTCAACAAATACTCCTAGTGCTATAAAAGTAATGGCATCTTCAGGTACTGTTGGCTCTGTTTCTATTAGTCTTCATCCTCTTGTTATAATGAATGTTAGTGAACATTGGACTAGACTTCGTGCCCAAGAAGGAACAGATCAATTAGGTATATATATTGCATATTTTTTGCTTAATTATTTATATTCTTCATAATTTAATTAATATTTTAGTATATGGAGCATTAATTGGCAAACAAAAAGGACGCAACATAGAAATTATGAATTCTTTTGAATTAATGTTTACATGTATTAAAGATGATGTGATAATTGATAGAGACTATTATAATACTAAAGAAGAACAATTTAAGCAAGTTTTTAGTGAAATGGATTTCCTTGGGTGGTATACTACAGGTGACATGCCTAATGAAAGAGATATTACAGTACATAAACAACTTTGTGAAATTAATGAGAGCCCTGTGCTATTAAAACTTGATCCAAGACCAAAAAATACTGATGTATGTATTTGCTCTTATTATTATTATATTTGCTCTAATTATATTATATTATATTATATTTGCTCTAATTTTATATATGTATTATATTTAATAACACATTACATTTTTTAGCAACTTTCTGTTTCTATGTATGAATCAGTAATTGACTTAGTAAATGGAGAAGCTACAATGTTGTTTGTTCCATTGACTTATACATTAGCAACAGAAGAAGCAGAAAGAATTGGAGTAGATCATGTAGCAAGAATGTGTAGTAATGATCAAGGAGAGAGTTCATTAGGTAACTTCATATCTATTATATTAATTCATAATTAAAAAATAAAATAATACTTCATTGGTAATTTGTAATAGTTGCTGAACATCTCACTGCACAACATAGTGCTATAAAAATGTTACATTCAAGAGTAAAATTAGTTCTAAAATATGTACAAGCTGTACAGAATGGAGAATTGAAAGGAAATCATGAAGTTTTAAGAGCAGCTTGTTCTTTAGGACACAGATTACCAGTTTTAAATAATCCTAAATTCAAAGCTGATTTTTATAATGTAAGTATTTGTTACAATATCATCAAAAGAACAACTTACTTGCATACTTAATATATTATATTTTTTAGCAATGTAATGATTTTGGCTTGATGACGTATCTTGGTATTATAACAAAAGGTTGCAACAATATAAATCAATTTGTTAATAAATTCAATATTTTGTATGATAGGCAAGGTGTTGGTCGTCGTTTGCGAAGCCTTTTTTTGTAATGAGTAAATAGAATTCATTGTTTTTTTATACTTGTACCTTTTTTACTCTAAAAATTATAATGAATACTTCTGGAATTTCAGAAATTCAATGCAGTAAATTTGGTTAATAAATCAAATGTTGTAATAGATATTGTACCTCATAAAAATAAATATAAAAATAAAATAAATATTGCAATATTTGGTTTCAGTTCACAAGGATAGATTAAATTCTATGTATCTATCTCATTATATAAATCTTTTAATATGTGCTTCGTATTTTTTTTTAATATACAAAGAGATAACATACATACAAAGAAAATTTTGAAACACATTCTAATATAATATTTTTTAAAGTGAAACGTACATCGAGAATGTATTTACAAATGGCTGATATAGATGTTATTATATGTTTTTTTATGGAAGACGTCTCATAGTATGTATATATATTTTATATTTATATTTTCAGAGGCCACATTCCTTTCTTCTTACATATTTAATTTTTTATAGTTTATGTAATCTATTTTGTATAAATTATATTCAAATATAAAAAAGCGGCCTATAAAATACGACTATAATCTTTATCTAAAAATCTATTTGAGTATTACATATATTTTTACTTAATATATATAACTTATAAATATTATACTGTACAAAATATAGTATAGTATATTGTGCCTCGTTAATTATTGCAGATAACTGTTAAGTTACATATCTTATGTATTATCCGTAAACATAAAACAGAATTGACTTTTCATATGACTAGAATAATTGAACTTGGACAAATTTCATTTTAGTGAAATTTTTTGCATATAATTTCACTAAATAATTATGTTACTTATGTTACACGAAGAATATTTTGATATTATTTGTATAATATGTAGTATAATATTTTCTAAAATGTATACGAAATTTTCAGTTTTTATCTTTGTACGTCATAAGTTGTGCGAATTTGTTTGATATTGATATGAAATGTTTAATTCACAAAATTCATTTTCTTCTTCTGATTCTTCTTCTTTCTTCTGATTTATATAAATCTTAAAAAATTAAAATCTTTTCTCACTGTAAGATTTCCTACAAATAATTTCTGAAATACATTTTTTTTACTTTCAAAAATTGCAAAAGACACACGCTCATTTGTTGTACTATTTTGGTATTATCTTCAAGTATTTAATAGGCTGTCTTCAATCATAGTAGCAAGTATATCTACCAAAACTGACAGCATTGAATCGGGCTAAGGACTTGGTTTATCCATACCAATTATTTCTTCAAAAAGAGTATTTCTCCCTTCTGTTCTTTCTTCAATAATATGTAATGCAAATCTTAATGTTGCCGCAGCTAAATCACCAACTGACCAATGTCTATCCATAAGAACTCTACTCACAGTATCTAACTAAAATAATTAAAAAACTAAAATTGTTTAAAAAGTAATATATATATACAATTATATTATATTTACTACCTTTGACAAACTGGGATTTCCTGTGGTGTAATATATTAATTTTGGCACTCCTGCCAAAGAAGCAGCAAGCCATTGAATAACAAGTTTCAATTGTGGATCTCCTTTTAAACGAGATCCACATCCCCAATTACCTGTAGCAATAGATAATAATCCACCTGTTTGTGGACTACCATCTCTTGGTATCTAAAAAATTGTTAGCAAACTTAAAATTGTATGAGTTATTTTAAAATATTCAATTCAATCACGCAAAATTATTGAATTTTAAACAATATTATTATAAAAAATATAAGAAGTTATATTAATTATAAATTATATTAGAAATATACGAATAAGAAATATTTATAAGATGTTATCAGATAGAATGAGAGACAAATCATTGGTTATTAAAAATTATTGCAATTACAAATTATTTTAAGCTAAATCATAGAAAAATCACATATTTACAATATCATGCAATAAGTTATTATAGTAAAAGAATTAATTGGTACCATGCATTATATTTATAAAACAGAATTAAGATATTCATATAACATAAATTTGCTCACATTAAATGTTATATGTGATTCTAATTGTTGTATAATTCTATTATCATTTTTGATATTAAAAGATTTTGTTGTATTTTTCCCTTTTGGCCCAGATGTAATTAAAGAAATAGGATTAGATAAATATATAGTAGTTTCATCATCAACCAATGTTTGAAAAACTTCAGATGTAAATGTTATTGTTCTAAGTTTTTTACGCTGAATATCCTTTATCTCTTTTGACATAGTATAATTATTTAAAGCATCTTCATAATATTCTATATCTTCAGACACAGGTACCTGTATAGCGTAATGAACTGATGAGATTTGGCTATGTATGAAAATTATCTAATATTAAGCTTTAGTTTGTCTCTCATTCTTTATCATGTAATGATTTAAAAATTATCAATGTAATAATTTATAAATTATTAACAATCCATCATAAAATTTTTTTTGCATTTTGTTTGTATATTATTATTATTTTGTTTAAAGATCAAATAATTAAAGATTAAGTAACTGAAGAAAAAAAACATTTTGTTCTTACTGATTGTTGTCTCCTATTTTTCTGACGGGCTAGCTCTAAACTCAAACTTCTCACAGCCAAAGCTAATTTGTGACTTTGATTTACATCAGTAGAATCAATAAAAGGTTGTGGTTCACCCTCTTGAACTGGAACACCAGCAAATGATTCACTGAGAGCTCTTTTCAATAATGAACCTGCAAATTGAACTACAGCTCTATCTCTCGCATCTAATTCGCGAGATTCATCGTTTGCTATAGGATCTTCTAACCATTTAGCCAGTTGTTCATAAACTTCTTCAAGCTCTGAACAAAAATCTTAAAATAAAATAATAAATCAGTTTTCTTATCTTTAAAATTTTATATAAGATATAATCAATTTAAGATAAATAATAAATAAAAATAAAGCAGTTAAAAATAAAATATGTTTATACTTACCGGAGTTATATTCAGTGCTGAAGCTATACCTACTGCTAGCACTTGTATCTTTTCTTTGTAACATAGGTTGATTTTGCCGAAATCTACCTAACCACTTTTGTTCAGCTTCTAAAGATTCTTTCAAAAAATCTTCATCTACTGTTTCATCCCGTAGAACAAAACCTCTTGAACCTCCTCTTTTTACTCTGTATGATTTTATATAAATTAAATAAATTGTAAATATAAATATCAAGTTTAAATAAATTTTCGTACTTGATGTCTTGATCACAAACATGACTTCCAGATACGCTTATTCCTACTGCATAACTACTCTCTCCAAATGAAGTATTCACTGATGTAGCTCCAGTAGCTGTATTTTCTCGTTTTAACGCTTCTCTTAAACGTTGAGCGAAAGTTCCTCTTCGCTCTTGGGTATCTAACTGAGTACTGTAGCGTTTATTTAATTTTTGTTCTTCTTCTTCTATACATTATAATAAATAATAATACATAGATTTCATGTTTTATATAATAAAAAATTATATATACATACCCAAATCTTCATCTATAGTATCTTTTGCACTATGAAAACTGTCTGTACTTTGACTATTACAACTACTATAAACCGACATTTGACCAAGTGATTTTCGTGTAACTGGTAAAACTTCTCCACTAGATCCAAGAACGATAAACCGATTTCTTTTGTTTGTATAATTAGTATCATTATATATTTTATGAGGACTAGATGGTCTTGTAGATTTGCCATTTGGTTTACTACGAATTTCTGTTAAAATATCATACTTGTATTCATGTAATATAGATTTTGCTAAAAACAAATGTAAATTATAGTTTTATGATTATTAATTATGTTTAATGACTTTTCTGCTATACTTCCTTTAGTACTATTATTTATTGACAATACTTTATCATCACCTTCTATTTCTGGAGGAGTGCTACTAAAACTTTCTCCAATTGGTGATAATCTCCGAGAACCTACTACATCTATATCTGATTCTGATTTTACAGGATCAGTTGGACTACTCGGTATATGTCTTTGTCGGAAACCAAGTAGAGATTTATTCATTTCTCGTAATATATTATCTTCTTCAAATTGTGATAAAGGTAACTGTGAATAATCTTCAGGATCAATACAGCATACCGTTACCTATATAAAAATAACAGAAAAACATCGTAAACAAAAATATTAATTGAATTGCATATCAAATTCAGAAGAATGATATAATATACTAACAATATTTGGTTTCGCCAGAGCTTCAAATATAGCTTTGTTACGAGGATCATTTATTCTAGATATATGTCTAACTCCTTCAACAATTAGAACTTCGTTATCTTCTAAAGCCTCGACAGACAATATTGCCACAAGCATTTCGGGATGTGTTACTATCTAAGAATTAAATTAATTGTTCGTTGATTTATATTTCAAAAACAATTTCTATTTTTTTATTTTTAGTTTATTTTTTTCTTGTCTTCCATTTTTTTTTTTTTTTTTTTTTAGAGAAAACTATGATTAACTCAGGTCAAAATTATTTTTCTCACGTCTTTAATTATTTACATGTACAGTTTCTTGCGTAACATCACCATCAAGTACACCGCCACCAAATTTAGCACTTGCAAAGCAAACTCGCAAAACTTTAGTTTCTGGTTCTATTCTATCTAGGCGACCCTCATGGCGTATCATCAACGGGCACAAAGGAACGTTACTTTCCAACCAATCTTCAATAGTTAACCATTGTTTCGATGTCATTACCTAGAAATGTTATATTTATTTTGACGTTATGAGATTTTTTTACATTGTGATATCATATACAATACCTGTCTAGAAATTATTAGTTTTCCATCTAACGCGTTTTCGGTATCAAGATAATCGTAGTAACGAAATATGCTTCTTAGCTTGGCTTTTTGACCATTACTGAAAAACAATACAAAATTACATTTATAATTCCTTTTCATCTTATTTAAATTTTCTCACAAAGCACCTTGAAATTTAAATATTTTCTATTTAATATTTTTAATATTTTTAACTTAACCCTTACTTATGAAGATGTTTGAAAAAATTTGTGAAATTGAAGTCCCGTAAAGTTGGGTGCGTCTTCGCAGTTCTTTTTGGATACGTGGAGAAGAACGCGTTCGCGATTAAAGATGAAATGAAAGCATAACTGTACTCGACGCAATCCCCTATAGTACAGGTACATAATATGTTGTTTTCTTTTATTTCTAATTGTATTAGCAATCATTTTATATGAAATTAATTTAAATTACCTTGTTGCTGAAGACTGAAGTGTAAACCTTGTGGAGGTTTACAGGATCTTAAAGCTTTTGCTCTTTCTACCATTCGTGGTATTGTATTTACAAAAATTTGATCCTGTTCAGTAGAATCAAGATCGGTATCAAGGAAAGTTGCTAATCCAGAAAATAATTCAGGATCTTGTATGTCCTCTTCAGGATCGAGACTTATGCTGTAAAACAAAAATAAAATATTTTAAAACAATTATTAAGATTGGCTAGAAAACGTATAAAAACACGTAACAGTTATACAAAGAACATTCAATATATGGGTAATTTTGTACAAAGAGCGGTGTACTTAAGAAAATTTGGGTACATCTTTTATGGATATTTAGAAATACTTTGGTCATATACCTTTTCAGTATGCATTGTTCCTCGTATCTTTATAACAGCATGTAGCAAAAAAATCGAGTTCGTTAATATCTCCGCGAGACAAAGCAATCATATCATTTCGAAATATACATATAATACATTTGCGTTGCCAAATAATTGAAAATCAAATATGCGTGTTGTTTATTAAAGTAGCTTCAGTCACAATGCACTTACTTGCACATGTCATGTAATCTTTGCATCGCTTCCACGAGATCTTCGGAATTTCTGGCAGCTGCCGCTCGCTCCAGTTGTTTTACCACAGCCGGCCACCATGGTAAATCACAAGGTAACATTACTAGAGCCATTCTAATTGCAGATCTAAACATCAAATATCACGGCATTCGATCTATTATATACATATATTCGAACTATTTATATACAAATTGAAAAGAATTCAACAAAAATTTCAATGAAAATTAGTAATCTCAGTTGCTAATCGGATCAATTTGTTTGATTAATATATATTTGTATTTTTAAGCGAATCTTGTACTTTGAATATTATATTTAGATATGTGAAATATTTAATGTATATATTTTTCGAATCAATTATAATAGTGTTTCACTAATTGTCATTAATTAAAATTTTCCTTACAAATTCTAATAATTGTTTTGATGAAATAAACATCTTGTTATCACATAGTATAATTAGTATTATACTATGTAGCTTAACTATGTAAAAAAAATTATTAAAATAAGAAAAATAAATCTAAATATCTTATAAAATTATTAAAAATTTTTCTGAAATGAAAATGATGATAAGTACGACTATATTTAATGAATTTAAATTACATGCATATGTAGATATGCGCTTAAAAAAAAAAATGTTCTGAATTTTTCTTCCTATTTTTCTTATATTTAATGTTATATACTTGTTACAAATAAATCCAAAAATTATGTAAATCGTATTAAGACAACGGATAATAATTTTTTAAATATCTAATTCGATAACAATTTTTGTGATAATAAACAAATCATTATTACATATAAAATTAAATAAAAGAATAAAAATAAATAATTCTCAAAATGTAAATTAATTTTCAAAATGGAATTTTTTTCTTGCAATTAATTCTAATAATCAATTTCTTTTATATTAAACTATTTACATGTTAGTTATAATAAATCTTCTAAAATGAATTAATATATCTAATTTAAGAATTAAATATTAATTATATATGATATTAAATCGTATTTTATTATATGATATTCTACTTCAATTTTATGTAAGTTATTTTATTTAAAATTCAATTAAATTCTTCAATATATATATTTATTATTCTTTACTTTGTGTATTAAGTATATTATTACAATATATATTATTACGTATTAGTATAATTGCAAATGTATTCTTTCGAAGAAACGCAAGTAGTACAGTTTAAAACAAGCGCGATAGATCTACCGAATCACCGATAGAGCATACGTACATATGTTTACGCGCGAAATGTCGCGTAAAAATAAATATTCCATGGTTATAAAATGAAACAAGGTTTCACGCGCCATGTAACTCGATATCCTTGGTTCCTCGCTTAAAAATACTCGTTGTATTCCTTGTAAAATGGAACCTCCAATTAATCTTTAAATATACATACTACATGTAGCATGAATGTTACAATAATTATAAAGTAAAACTTTATGTAAAAATACGATGTAATTTTTACAAATAAATTTTTTTTATATATATTATTTTTATTGCTCTTAAAAATTTATAAATTGTAAAACGTTGTATTAACGTATTAATATATAGATATATAAGAATAGATCATTAATTAATTTACCTGATGCTTTTCCCGGTTCATTTCAAACCGTAAATATTAAAATATTAAATATTCGATTTCGATTCGGTTTTTGTAAAGCATTAGTCAATTTTAGCCAATGAAGAATATATAAAATTCCATCAAGGTTCCCATATGGACCTTAAATTGCTTGTGCGCCTGGCGGAAAGGGTAGTATGGTTAGTAATCTTTCGTCGCGAAGATAGTATAATTAGTTTCTCTTGTAGGTAAAGAAAAATTTAGCCGGTAATATTATCATATAGAGAAATGCTAAATAATATTTTTGCAAAACACATTCACGACTACTTAAAACTAGAATTTATATAATCACCTAATTTACTCGATAGGTTGTCGATCAGCTGACGCAATCACAAATAAATTCACATCTTAATATATGCCATTGCGTCAACGAACATGCTGCATATTGCATGAGTACACATGTAATTGTAACATCTTCAAAATGTAGAGAACATCTTACATAGAATCAAATTAAATGATTTTTGATAAGGATTTTGCAATCTTTGGATAGCAATCTTTGATATAATATAATTAATTCATTCACAACAAACTTGGCGCGATAAACTTATCGAATTAATTATTACAAAAAAATGAATTCAATTTTGTGCATAGATAGCATACAACTGCGAAATGTCCCACCGTTAACTACAACACTACGGTTGTGCACACGCGATGGCTGGCTTTCCTTTTACTTTGTTCACAAGCCGCAACCGGCGGTTGGCGTTGTACTACGCACTATTTATAGAGCGGCGCCGGCGCCCTGCCAAAGCTTATACAGATTTTTTCATATATTCGTTTATATTTTATTAAACTTATATGCAAAAATGTATTTTTGAAGTTCTTATTTATCAATATGAATTCATAGTAAATAAAATAATATCTGAGATAATGCTTGAAATATTCATTATAATTCGAACTTTGTTTTGAGAATTAAAGAGTAAGCGATATACATAATATGTATATATTGAAGATGACATATATGATAAGTTTAACATTTAATGGGATTTTGTATTCCATATTTTAAAATACCGATCACGTAAAAAATTAAATGTTTAGTATGCTTTCTATGATTTAAAATGATGAGTGCAAAAAATATATTGAATTCGATCAAAAGTTGAAAAAATTAATTAATTTTAAAAATAATTTTTGTATGCATTTTTTCATAAATATTCTCATTACATATATTGGATTGTGTTCTTAAATTTTTTGACGAAATTGATAAAGTTAATTAGATATCGAAACCGTTTCTTAAAATCTTATAAATTTTATAAATCAAATATAGCAAAGACAGAAAATAATGGGAAAAGGACAGGTGTAAGATAAAAATTCAGAAAAATATCAATACATATAGAAAGGATAGCAAATAGAAGGGAAAAAATAGAGATGATAGGATAAAGATAGGATAGAAATTAACTGTTTTCAGTATCAGATATATTTTTAAAAATATTCTTAAAAATGTAAGAGATGAAGTTGATCAATTTTTATTTTATCTTATTTTACAGAGGATTTGGGATTCAAGAATAGGCGCTAATGGTCAATTCTTATCTCTTGTTATTTGTTATTTATTCCATGTACATATATTTTTTGCTATTTTTAAAAATGATATCTTACAAAAGTAAAATTTAAAAAAAGAAATTAATTTTAATAATTAGATTTAATAAAATAATAAAAAAATGATAAATAACAGTTTCTGTCAACGTATTATGAATTAGAAATGTAGTATGTAAAAATATGTAAAAAATAAGGTATAAAAAAGATAAGTTAAATTTTAAAAAAATTTCGCATGCTATGTTTTGTCGAATGTTTTCTTAATACAATATTAAAAATTCAAAACAAAAATTTTTTCTAGAAATATTCTAGAAATATTTATTTTAAAAACTTAAAATAAAACTTTTAAAATAAAAGGTAATAACTTTATATACGATAAAAACTTTTTTATTGACAATAATGTGAATTTATTTGAATAGTAGTGCCATCTTTTTAGGAAAGAATGAAACTTTCTTATTATCGACAACTATGTATAAGAAGATTTTATGTTTCTCAAAGAGATGGTAGTACTAGTAAAAGACCATTAAGAAGCTTATTTTATTATCGGTCAACATTTATCAAATTTGAGAATTTTTCAACAAGATGGTGCTATTTGTTAAATGTAAAAAAACAATATTTTATGTATTATGCATAATATGCATCATATTTATATATGTACTTTTGTATTTTTATATAGATAGAAACTGTTATAAGGAAAATTTTTTATAAAATATTTTATATTATAAATACATATATACTTTTATAATATATGCATAAATATATTTTTTTACTAAAATTAATAAGCCCAAAAATCAATAAATCATTATTAAATTATATAAATATATTTTTCATTGATATTGATTTAAAACATTTCTAAATTATAAAATACATTTAATAAAATAAGATGCTGTCGTTTAACATAATTAATTAACATAACTAAGCTTAACATTCTATATGAATTAATATGTCTTATTAAATATCTGGAGATTTCAATACTCGATGAAGAAATATTGAAGCACATTCAATACCAATCATTGAAATCACTTTTTTTTGTATTATTTATAACTATTAATGTTATTAATTGCATTATTTAAAAGATATTTAAAAGAGAAATCCTTATATAACAATAAATATATATGTATATACGAATATATTCTAAAATATTATTTATTCCTACGCCTGTAGATATGCTACCATTCGATTTTCAATCCGACAGGTGCCACCACCTTGCGGAATAATTTGCGTAATTCTAGTTACTGAATTTCAGTAGTGTATTAAACCAAAATAAATAAGGTGTTTAAGCCTTATAATGTTTAAATAATTTTGTTTTTAACTATTTTTAATTTATGTTTTAGGAAAGAAATAACATATTTTCTTTTAGTATACTCTCGTTTTAATTAATATATGTTATTTGATTTTTATAATATATTATAAAGCATAGGGTCCGAAATTAGATAGATACATGTTTGTATTCATTACAATTGTGTGTTCCAACGGTTTCAGAAAGCGATTGTGTTGACTTGTGAAGAAGAAGGGGATTTTCATGTTAGTTCAGTGAGCTCACGCGCGTCGAACAACAATCATCGACAATAGTACGATTCGAAAATCTTCGACGTCCAAAAATGGCGTTTCTTGGATAGTATATTGTCACATTAAAATTTGTTCTAGTTCTGTTAACAAGTGAAACAGGTTCTTTGAAAGGAAAATCGTGTAAACTAAGGAATATTGGAGAAACGATTTCTTGAGAGTCCATATCCAGAAGATTGCTTCGCAAAACAACGACGTAAATATCAGTTCACATACCAAACATTCTTACATCTTTGGTTGTGTGAGTGAACATATAACATAATTTGTTTTTAAAACAATTATTTCAACAAAATTAAATGTCATTTCTAACAATCAAGTTTTTTGCACATTTGCATATGAAATTCTACTTTTGTGTATTCTTTGAATAAACCTCTTTTGTATATTCTTTGAATAATCCCAAATCGCGCTCTTTCAACGAAGATTCCGATTGGTCAATTCAATGACTATGGACCAATCGATGAATTCTTTTATAAAATCCATAATTTATATTCTAAAAATAAAATCAATTATCCTATGATAATTTTGATTGGTTATAAGATATTATTTGATTAAAATATTTAAAAGCAATTGATAATAAAAAAAATTGTAAATAAAGTGAAAGTGCAAAGAAAAATGAATTTCTCTTATAGATACAAATATATAATATATTATTATTTATACTTTATTAATGTTTTCCACGAAATAATAAAAAAAAATCATAGTTTTTGTATTCTTATATGTAATTAATTTTTTTTAATATATATCTAATTATAACATCATACATCAAATACAAATAATTTTTATTCATTAAACACTTTTTTTTGAATAAAAAATTATTATGGTAAATATTTAAAAATTATTTTAAATATTTTATTTTGTGTATATATTATTCAATAAATTTTACTTGTTTTATTTACGTTATATTTCTCTTTTAAAATCGAATATATCGAAATTATATAATTAATATATTTCCAAACGAATTAAATTCTTAAATTACATTAAATTTTTCTATTAATATGAAATCGAGTAATAAAAAATAGTGATCAATAACATTGTCCATCAAAGTTTGCTTACTTCAGTGAAAAATTTTTACACACTTACGCAAGCTTCACTGGTTGAACAAGGTTTTGAGACACAGTGATGTCATAACATAATGTAACGTAACGAAGTAATTCTTCTGACACGTGTAATTGATGTTATATTAATATATCATATTAGTAACTTAACGATGCAATAGTTTGATTGTCTCTATTTTTCGCAGATAAGATTATAAAGAGAGAATGGTTGAACTACAATATTATTTCTACGCTTTCTTGTTTCCTTTCTCTTGGCTGTAGCTGTAAAAGATTTAATGTATTCGAATAAAGTAACAGAGCGTTAATTATCCATTTTAAGGGATGCAAACTATATATGTAAATTCCAATAATTATTAAATATCAATACTTTGATCATAAAAAATTTTCTTAATAATATAAATCAATAAATCTTTTACATGAGAAATTAATCATACTATTTTCATGAAATATTATAATATGCAATTTATTGTTTTATTGATCTTTGATCTTAATTATATATGTAATATATTTTCCATCATTCATTAAATCACTTGGTCTATAAATCGTTTAATTATTTCGATATTATTATTATTATTTCATTTGAACAGAATTATATCTTTCATCTATCAATAATATCTACTAATATTATATTAGTAATGAGAAAAAATTTTATATTATATAATACAAAATAGAAACAAAAATGGAATCGACCGAACAATTACGACCGGAAGAATTGGTGGGATTAGTAGCCCGATCTGCTGAAGGTACAGCAGCGAAAGGAATGCCTATCAAAGGACACGAAGATCTATGGGTGGAAATTCAAGCGAATACTTTCCGAAATTGGGTGAACGAGCATTTAAAACACGCGGTTGATACTGCAAACAGTCCTGTGATCGATCTTGTTGAAGATTTTCGGGATGGTACACGACTATGTGCTCTCGTTGAAGTACTTACTAAACGACGTTTACCTCGATGGAATCCCAGACCTGCAAATCAACATCATCATTTAGAAAATGTTTCAACAGCCCTTCAAGCTATCGAAGCTGACGGTGTAAAACTTGTTAATATCGGTAAGTTAATATGTTATAATATTTATTATTTATATTTTGCGTATATATAAATATTAATATCAATTATATATAAATACATAAATATTTTCAAGGATCTTGCTATTTTATCTAATATGCAGTATTTAATATTAATAAATGATTTATTATGTTATTTTTATTTTTTTTATAATTATATTATAATAATTCTTGATTGATTTAATTAATTATTATATTATATAAATGTATTTTTTACACATAAATTATATAAAATATTTTTTTTTTCAATAAAACATTAAACAATTAAAATGTTCAATATTTATATAGAAGATTACTTGGTAAATATATATATATATTGTGTATCTTTTATGTATTATGAGCCATATTACGATAATAAATATAAAAAATCGTTGCTACTATTATTTTATTATAAACTTATTTTAAATTAATTATTAATATTTCATTTGAATATAATTTACAAATATATATACATTACATTTAATAGTATTTCTAACAGTATTCCTAGATTATAATTATATTCGTAAATATTTTAATAAATAATAATAAAAATAACAATAATAATAATAATAAAATGTATTTTAATTAATATTATTGTTATTAATATTATATAATAATATTTCATAATGAATAATATAGTTTTTATGTTTTTTGCAAATTAAATTCCGAAATCGTTGTCTTTTTATGAATTCTGTCTATGAGATCATAATCTAGTATTTTTATACAATTATTCTATTTTAATATATTATATATTATATTTTAAATATATAATATAAATAAATTAAATAATATAATATATTATAAAATAAATAATATAATATATTATATTTTAATATATTATAATAACAATTAATTTAATTCTTGAATCCGAATGTTCAAAATTTAGCATACTATACAAAAAAATTTTTATAATTTTTTATAATTTATTAAATCAATATTTCTTTATTAACAGAAAAATATAATTAATTTAAATATTTTATCTTTAAATTCTTTTTTCATAGGTAATGTAGACATCGTCAATGGTAATTTGAAACTAATTCTTGGACTGATATGGTCACTCATTGTAAGGTACCAAATAGGCAAGTCCAAGTTCCCTCCAAGGAAACTTATGCTGGCATGGCTCAAGGTCAGTATACGTAATTATATCAGTAACCTTGCTATATGGTAAATTTATATTATATATTTTATATAATTATAATATAAATACATATATTTTAAAAAATATGTATAAAATATAAATTTTATAAGTTAAGAAGAGTTATTTTATTTTGATTTATTTTAGACAGTTTTGCCAGAATGTAGAGTCAACAACTTTACTACAGATTGGAATTCTGGTGTATATCTGAGTGCCTTACTTGATTATTGTCAACCAGGACTATTTCCTCATTGGCGACGGCTTGATCCGAATGATAGGTATAATCGGAAAATCTTGATCTTTTTAGAATCATTTCACAAATTGAAAATTAAACATTCTATAAAAAAATTCATATCTATAGCGTTTACAATTGTCGAAAAGCTATGGAAATTTCAAAACGTGAATTCGATATACCTATGGTATTGGAACCAGAATATCTTGCATCACCATATTTGGATGAATTATCGGGAATGACCTACTTATCATACTTCATGAAGGAAGGTTCACCAGGTTTTCATGCAACATTACGATGGGTTAATTCTCAATTACTTCATCATCCAGTACAAAACTTTACAGTAAATGAATATTTCTTATTCTTTTTTATATATGAGATCATATTAAAAATTCTTTCTATTAAGTTTCAATCGTTTTCTACAGACTGATTGGAATGATGGTAGAACTTTATGTAGTATTGTCAGGAATTTAGGAGGATCTGCTCCTGCTTATGATAAAATCGATATCGACCCTTCCACATGGGAACACAATATACAAATGGGTAATTATGATATGCATTTAGATATCATTATTTATTATTATCATATATTTTGTACTTAAATATCAATTTATAAAATATATAATATATATATATATATATATAAAATACTTTATTTACTTTGTATTCTCTGAAAGGTATTGATGGAGGCAAAAAATTAGGTGTGGAACCCATTCTTAAAGCAAAAGATATGGCAGATCAAAATGTAGAACATTTAGGCGTTATGGCATACGCAGCATGCTTTCAATGGGTAAAGCCTCGCCCTCAAACAAGCAAGCAAATTGTTGTTCATATTGATAGCACTTCCGCAAGAGTGCAACAGCCGGTTAGTTAAATAATGAACAATTAAAAATTATTTGTTCATTCAATTTTTTAAAGTATTCTACATGTATTAACAAAATTTCTATTTATTATTTAGGCGCATTTCAAATTAGAAATTCTTACCAAAGAAGTAAATACGAGAGAAGTACGTGGTGAGGTAATAAGTCCGAGCGGACGGATAGAATGTAGATTAACATGGAATGGAGTTCATGGAAAAGGAACTTTTATACCTGTAGAAGTTGGAATGCATAAGGTTTGATTTTACAATTCTAGATACATTACGTATAGCATGTCATTTAAATAAATCACAATTAAATAATTAATTAATAATAAATTAAATAATACACAAAATTCGTTATTGTCTGTGTTACAGTTAATGGTATATAATGACGGAGAATTAGTAGATGGATGTCCCTATTATTTCAGAGTTTTACCTCCCTTAACCAAAATCAAATCACCTGGTATGGATCCTTGTGCTATAGGATCTATCGTTGAAGTTCTAGTCAATAGTTACGGTAATATATTGAGTCAATTATATGATAATTATATATATACATATTGAAATAAATCAAAAGTTATATTTATATTTATAAAATTATATTTTTAGGAACTAGTCATGATGGCATTGATGTTACTGCGTGGTCACCTACTGGAAGATCACTATTGTGTCCTGTTAAAGAAAACGATGGAGTACACGCTGCAACCTTTCAACCTGATGAGACGGGAGAATGGAGTATTGCAATAACTCATAAAGGAAATCATATACAAGGTGGCCCATTTACATGTTTTGTATTTGATCCTAATGGAATAAAGGTATATCGATTATTATATATATATATATATATTTTCTCATTTATTTCCTTAAATATCTATCATATTCGATAAATATTTATAGCTATTGGATACGGAGGGTGCTTTACCCGGACAACCATTTTCATTTACTGTCGATGCAACAGGAACTGGAGGTCTTGGCGACGTAATAATAGATTTAGTCCATGATAAACAATCAATTCCTTTCAGAATGGAAAATACTAGACATATGCAATATCAAGTTTCATTTGTTCCATCAGAATCTGGAAAATACAGAGTTTATATATACTTTAATGGTTCCGATGTTAGAGGTTCTCCATTTTCTATTCGAGTGGGAACTCAAAAAGGATCAAAAAGATCAAAAGAATCTAATTTCGATAAAACGAAATTATCTTCGCTGGAAAGGCGAATGAATGATTTAAACGTTCAATGGAAACCGATCGATCAAGTCCTCTCCAGCAGAAGTCTTATTCTCCCTCTACATATAAATTATCTAGCCCAACTCAACATATACGTGAATATTCTCCTGTACATCAGACTACCTCCGCTTATAAAACATCGAATTATTTGGAAAATTCTAGTTCGACGTATCATACATCAACTTCGATCAATCATACTCGATCTCCAAGTCATAGTAATAGTCCAATTTCACGAAATCTTCATAGTCCATCTATGGTTAAAGATACAAAAGAAATTTATTCTATTACATATAATCATTCAAGATCTCCAACTGCACAAAGTCCTAATTTTATGAAAGAATCAAAAGATATTTATACATCCAATACAACAAGTACATCTCGATCTCCAAACCCAAGCCCAATACATAGCTCAAGATACTCGCCAGTTATTAAAGAATCACGAGAAATTTATAGTTCGGGATCTTTAAAGAGATCTCGATCTCCAGATCGAAATTCAATGGCATATCGAAGCGCAACACAAAGTCCTGTCAATAGAAGCTTCAGTCCAAGAAACAACGACAGAGATAATAGTTATAATAGAAAGGATTTTACAGATAATGGAACAGTTGATACCAGTAGTAATGTTAGAGTATCCTCGATGGTTGGCGGAACATCTAGAAGAGATTCATGGGATGCTATAGAAAAAACAAAATCTTTATTATCTTACGGTAGTTTAGAATCTCTTGCTAATTTAACTAATAATTCTGCTATGGCTGAAAATAATTCAAATTATTTTAATAATAATTATAAACAAGATTATAGTTCAAAAAACATTTTGCAAACTCATAATAGTTCTTCCAATTTGATTCAGAAAGTTTCAACCTCAGAATATAACGCATCTCAAAAATATAACAATGAAAATCACAACATTCGCACGCAAACGCATGGGATTCTTAAAAATAAGAATAATAATTATTGTAAAAACGTGGATATCACAGATGGAGTTCATGAACGGTATTTTAATAATGTAATTTCTAATTCATCAACACAAGATAGAAATTACGAATTTGTAACTGGGAGTGCACTAGAGACATTACCAATTCATAGACCGACTACCTTTACAATCGATCAAAGTATAGATACAAATAAAGTCACTGTTAATGTTTGTGGTAAGTTCTCATATTATGTAATATTGTGTTATATAATTAATGGTATATTGTATATTTTTATATATGATTTATATCCGAATTTAGGTCCAAATGGTAAAATAATTCCAGTACAAAAATCAACTCTTCGAGGTTTAACGTATTCAATAACCGCTCAAGAAGTTGGAGAACATATTATTCAAATTTTAGTAAATGGCCAACATATTCAAGGCTCACCTTTCAGGTTCATAGTTATTTAAGTTATGAACAAAAATATATTCATTTTAAATTTAAAATTGAATTGTTTCTTATTTCAGATCGCAAGCATACAATGCTCATGCTATTCAAGTTGGGAACATTCCGAATGGCGTTGTCAATCAACCAGTAGAATTTGAAAGTATGTATATAAAATTGTATTTATTATAAAATAAAAGTTTCAAAATAAAGCAAACTTATATCATTGTATGCTTTTAATATTTATAGTTGATGGATCCAATGCCGGATCTGGAAATCTAGAAATCCTTGTAAATGGTGGTCATGTAACTAGTTTTGTTAGAGCATTGGGTAGCCAACGATTTCTGGCATCATTTGTACCTCATGAAGCTGTTGTACACCTCGTAGAAATGACATTCAACGGTGAAGTTATTCCTGGTAAGTTTCTTGATATTACTTAGTCTTATTTGATATTACTGTATTATGAGAATTTATTTACTTCATGCAATACAATAACTCAATAAAAGTAATTAAATTCAATATAAAAATTTCGAAAATAATATGGAATATAAAATAAAATTGTATACATTTTTGAATTTAAAATATTCAATGAAAATAATTTTTTACAGTAATAGCATTATTTTTGAACAATTGATTTTTTTCAATTTGTTTTAATAAAATATTCAGAATATATTGTTTGAATTTTTTTAAATTAATATTCGCTAAATAAATTTTAAAAAATATTATTTGGATTTTGAATGTTATTTTGAAATATAATTTTGAAAATTACACTTAATTTTTTTATTTTTATATATTATATATAATACATATATATTATTCGAATTAACAGATTATTGATCAGGTCATTGACTTGCGATTTCACGCATCCACGTGATGTTCCACTGACACATATACAACGTCATCATTTCCTTTCCTTCTTGACTTTTTTCCTTCATTTGTTGTCTAAGTATAATGAATAATATTTTTATATATATTTAAATAATTTTTTATTTTTGCAATAAAATATCGTACAATTGTATGAAATTAGATAATTAAAAATTTATCTTTATTTATCTTTAATTAGAATCAGTGAAATAAATATATTGAAAATAAAGTTATCATAAATGAAACTTCAAGTAAATAACATTTAAAATAATTTAATAACAATTCCTTGATATCATTTAAAACATTATATTTCACAATATATTATGAATTTAACATTTTATGAACATTAATGCTACATTTCCATAAAAAATATTATTTAGATATAGCGTAAAAAAATGTCTTTTATAATCTACACATTGCATGTGGTTTGCAATATTGTAAAAATTATTGGGATATTTTATATTTTCTTATATTATTTTGAAAATTATAATAATTCTTCAAATTAAAAAAAAAGATACGATTAACGTTTGAAAATAAAAAAAATTAAATGCTTAAAAGTTTATTATCAATAAGATGTCATTTAATATTTTTAAATAAATTTTTAAACAAATTTTTTTACATATCGAACATTAATGGAAATGTAAATTAATGGAAAACACTTGATTTCATTAATTGAAAAAAAATATTATGAAAATTGTAGGTGTGGTCACTAAAGTCTTTGTAGACGTATTTGGTTAGAAGATAGTCGGTTTCTTCCTACATAAAAATGTATTTAAATTTATATAACTGCACATTTGATTATAATGAATATAATAACTTTTAAAATATCAAAATTTACGCTAATTAAACATAAATAATTATTATCAATTACGTAAGATAAAATATATTCGATTCTATTTAATAAAAATAATAATTTGTATATATATGATTTTTTTACGATCATGTCGATATCACATAATAATATCAAATACACTTTGTACCGTTATTATTTATTGAGAAAAAAATATTTATGATCGTTTCTATTTTATAAATACCATGTGAAATAAGTTATAATTTTGTTGCATATAAAATAATTATTTTATTTTTTTATTCAATTTTTTTTTCATAAATTTAGTATTTGAATTAATCTTGAAGTATATATAAGTAAATATAAAGAAATATATAATTTTTGTACATGCAATTTTTGAAATTTAAGTGAAGCATGAAAATTATAAGAACACGTATTTAATATGAAAATTTCAATTATATATATTAATTGAAATTGGAAGAACATTTTTATTTATGAAAAAGTCAATATATTATTGTTATTAGAGAAATTCAAAAGAAAATTAATACTTTTTAATTTTATAATTTGAGAAAATAAGAAATTGAACTTACATAGAAAAATATAATATATACTTTCAAATTTCTTCTTCATTTATTTTCTTTTATCTATTTTCAAAAATTTAGAAAATAATAAAATCAATAAATATGAATCATTATTATTTATATTTATTTTGTATTTTTAAAAAAACAATTATACCATTTTATTACTGAGACTTTTATGTAACATATTATTTTTATGCAAAAATTATGTGTAGTCATGCATTGAATTATATTAATTTTAATTTATTATTACATAAGTAATGTTTCAGTCATCATAATATCAGATTTAAAAAAATTTTTTTTCTTCGATTCATTTTTTATTGTTTTAGTTTGTTTTTTAGTTATATTTATGAATTAATATTAATTACCGGAAAAATTTTTTAAATTTTATAACGAATTCCCTTCCGTATGACCCGTTACGTCGGAGAATGCAGCGATTCAACCATAGTCCCTTCAATATAACTCTTATTAAGAATGTAGTGCAAACAATTTGAAATTAAAAAGAACAATGCAAATAATAACATTAATAGGCGGACCAAGTAAAAGATGTCTATCATCTTTTAAATTTTTTTTTTATTCTTTATATATATAGATATTACTAACTTTATATTTTTTATACATAGAATATAATGAAAATCAATATAAAATATTATAAATATTAAAATATTCAATTTCAAATTAATGTTATAAGAAACATATATCAAAAATATATTAAAAGATTTCTATATGAATTATAAAATATGAAAATGCAAAATTACCAATACCTCAGAAACTATGGAGTTTGTTTAAAGAAAAAGTCGAATGAATTCCATCGTCATGGAATTATAATGTATGAAAGCTACATTCCTTACATACATTTAAGTATTGCATTCTAATATTTGTTTAGCATAATGAAATATTAAATAGTATAAAATTATAATTATAAAATTAAATTGCGATACATGAAATATTGCACTTTTTTGATAATATCAGATAATTATTGACTGACGTTAATTTTATAGAGTTACACTTTTTGATAGTTTTAAAATAATTTCACATTAAATATAAACAGTGAAGTTTCTATTTCTGACCGACCTTAAAGTATCGAAATACGCAGATCAGGTATCCTGTGAACGTATACACCATAGCCGGTCGAACGAGCAAGAAACGGATGGGAGAACATAGTCGTATCGTGTCCATTTAAGGCCCTATACTGATTTATATTATAAAATTAATTTCTAATGAAAATAATGTATTTTTTTAAATAAAAAATCATCGAATATAAATAGAAAACTATAAAAATCTAATTTAAACTAATATAAAATTAAATATATGCAAAAAAAAAAATATAATAAAAAATTGTTATCCATATATACCAAGAAACATACGGCCCTGATTTTGGGCCTAAGCAGCAATCCAGTAGTAGCAGTTACACCCGTCCTGTCTCTTGACTGTGTGTCTATCGTGAATCGCGACTTGCTGACGTTTCTTCATCAAGAAATCGAAACTATAAAATTCTTTAATTTTCTCAAACATTTGAATTTTAGTTTGTTCTTCGTTTTTGTAATTTTAAAATTATATGAAAATGAATTTTCAAAGGAATCATTTGCAATTAGTTTTCAATAAAAATAAAATAACTCTAATCGAATTAGTGCACGAATGACTGAAAACATTCAATATCTATCTGTTCGTACTTATGGCCGAGATCGAAGTGTATTCCATAATGGAACTCTATTATTGACTGATAGATTTGATTCATGTGTTTCATTTTCTATATTTTTGAATTTAATATATTTACAATATAATTGAATTCTAAATTTTTTTCTTTAAGTTTTCTAGAGTTTTTCAGGTTTAGTTTAAAATTTAAAGTGATAAAGGTAATCTAATTTTTCATATTTCTATAAAATTAAAATAAATGTAATTCTTTTTTTAAAAAATTTAAATATAGTTAATCTATTTTCCTACAATATTCATGAAAACTATTTTCTTTTATATGTATAACTATGTTTCCTTACGCGTAATATCTTCAAAAATTAAAAAGCAGATGGTTTGAATCATGTTGTATTGCTATTAAATTAAAATTTTATTCGATACCACATATTTATAATTTATAAATAAATTACTTATTTAAAAAAATAAAATGCATTATATTGAAAATTATTGATAATTTAAAAATTATTATTATATTTTAATATTATTTATATGTTTTATTATTATATTTTATTATATTTATATAAAATAGAAAATTGTTATAATTTCTATAATTCATATTTTAACTTTAATTCATATTTATACTTTAATGCATATTAATAATTTCTTATTTAATTGCATATGTACAATTAATATTTGATTAAATTATTAATTAATAGGGTCACCCTGGCGTGTGGGCATTATGCCAGCACCAAAAATGTCAGTAATTGGAGATTCCATAAGATTGGTCCCTGCTGGTAGTCCAGCATTTTTTGAACTTTCTGCTCTTGGCTTTAATAGTAATGAAATTGATGTACAAATTATAAGTAAGTATCTATTTATAAATATCACTTTTGTTACATTTGAAATTATTGCTAGTTTTTTTATAATTAAAACATAATTATATTTCTAGCACCTTCTAAAAGATATATACAGGCAAAAATTGATGAAGTATCAGGAAGACCTGGAGAATTTCGTGTTGAATTTACTCCAATAGAAGTAGGTAGTCATCTTGTAGAAGTAACCATTGCTGGACAAAAGCTACCGGCAGGTCCACTAGTTGCTAAGGTGTACAACAGCAGTTTGATTCAAGTTACTGATGTCCCCAGTGCTGTTGTAGGACATGCCTGCCAATTTAGAGGTAATTAAAGATAATAACTTTTAGAAAAAAAATCATAATGTGTACAAATGCTTAATTTTTTTGTTAATTTTGTAGTTGATGCTAGTGCTGCTGGTGAAGGACAACTTGAAATTTCTATAAATGAAGGAGAAGTACCAAATCATGTTCAAGTAGTTGGAGGAGGACGTTGTCTTGTTTCTTTTACACCAGAAATTGCTAAATCACATTATATTGATATAAAATTTAATGGAGAAGCTGTGAAAGGATGTCCTTTTATTTGTAATGTATCTGATACTAGTAGAGTAACATTAAGTTTAAATCATCTGGAATTAATTCCAGTGGATCAACCTGCTAGTTTTCATATGGGTGTTGATGGTAGTGGTAATGCAGAACTTGCAGTTTCTGTAAAAGGTCAGTCAAAAATATGCATTAAAATTTTTAAATATTACAGCAATATATAACAATTTTAGGACCAAATTGTGAATTGCCTGTCAAGGTAACTGGAGATATAAAAAATGGTTTTACTGCAGAATTTATTCCAAGAGATGTTGGTGTTCATTCAATTAGTGTTGAATATAATGGCCATGCTGTAAATGGTACACCATTTTTAGCTAAGGCATTCAATGCAGATAAGGTATTAATTGGTCCTGTAGCTAGAGGTAGTGTTGGCCAACCAACACATTTTACTGGTATGTTTTAAAATAATCTTTAAATATATATAAAATATATATTTTAAAATATTTATAATATATATATAATATATATATAATATTATAATATTTTTTTTATCTTTTTTAGTTGATGCAAGTCAAGCTGGTGAAGGAAATTTAGAAATTACGATATCAGCTCGTAATCAAAATATACCTACTCAAGTCACACCACAAGGAAATGCACGATTTTCAGTTAGTTTTGTTCCATTTGAAGCGTGCGAGCATATAATTAATATAGCCTTCAATAAACGAACAGTACCAGGCTGCCCGATTATAACTCGAGTAGGTGGTGACAGTCATGTAACAGTAAGTGGGCAGGCATTAAGCAGTGCTGGATTAGGACGACAAAGTTATCTTACTATCAGTAATGTTGCCGGTAGCTTGGAAGATTTAGAAGTTAATGTTGAAGGTACGTTTATTTTTCTTTTGTTATTATTAATATTTCTTATATAATTAATATTTCTTAATATAATTGTATATTAATACGTGTATGCCGCATGTATACTCCTCGATTTAAAATCTTTACTAGTTGTTATTGCACAAATTTCACAGAGACATTATATTCTATGTTCAATATTCTTCTATACTTTATTTCAATTTAGTATTGCGTATAACTATTGCATATCAGTTTTGCCGACAATCGCGAATATATATATATGTTGAAGCACCTTTTATGTTGTATCACTTCTATTTAATTATATTTGTTATTTAATTAATAAATTTTATCTGTTAGTTATGGTGGAAACTTGCACGAAGTTCTACTTCTGTGTTTGTTTGTCTTGTTAATCTTTAGCTTGAGAGCAATTCTCTCTCTGTTGCAGGTCGGCCAGCTTTCAGACTACGACATTACTAGACTTCTCAAACACAACTAATTTCATTTTAATTAATTAATGGATTATATCAAATAACTGGTGGTGGGTTTTAACTTAACATTTTCTAAAATTATTGCATAGAAATAATCTTTTATTTTGTTTTCATATTATGGCTCATTTTAAAATATTATAAAAAAATTGATTTTATTTTTTAATTTGTGATTATTAAAAAAATAACTAACGCTTTCCAATTTTAATATCAATTATTAAATCATAGTAAGATATATTTTTTGCGTGATAGTCATCTTTTCATGGTGCTAATAAATATTATTTCAACTCTTAAATATTAGTGCATTAAAACTATAGGTTTTAAATATGTAATTTGTATTGCTTTAGTCAATGTGCCAATCATTTATTTGAATAATATTTAGCTATTAATGTCAATTTAATGTCAACAATGCAAAAATCGATCTCTTATGATTTTTAATTCTTAAATTTTCATATATTTTGCTTTTGAATTATTTTTTCACATAACTTCTTTCCTAGTATAATACTTGAATAATTAATCTATTAATTTGAATTTAATTACATTATACGTAACTAATATTTTATTGAATTTACATTTACATATTTCATTACATATGCAATTCTATCATAACAATATGCTTGTATTATATATATATATATATACACACACATATTATATTATTATATATATTATATACTGTGTATACATATATACATACTGTCTTTTTTGAATTAAATATTGCTTATTACAATTAATAATCTTAATATCAGAAAAAAACTTAATATAATAGATTGCACTTTACTCTTTGCCTTTGGTATCCTTGTGATCTACTCCTAGTAGTTGGCTGACTAAATTATATTAAACAACTAACCGGCGGACTTGATAGGACCCAATGGACAGGCCGTACCCGCTCAAGTCACTGACAACAAAGATACAACGTGCAGTGTAGCATTTACACCAAGAGTAGTTGGAGAACATAGAATTTCAGTAAGTCATCGGAATGTTCCTGTGATTGGCAGTCCATTTAGCTGCAAAGTATATGATGTGACTGCTATTAAAGTGAAGGATGCTAAACATGGTGTTATTGGAATGCCTGTAACTTTCTTAGGTATTATTATTATAATTGAAGTAATTAAAATATAAAAAAAATACATCTATAAAGAAAAATATTTTTTGATTTCTTTCTTTTTCTTTTCTTTTTTTTTCTTAGTTGAGACTAGTCAGGCAGGACCAGGAAATCTAGAAGTGACGGTGAACGGAGGTCGTGTACCTACATCTGCTCAAGCTCAAGGACCACATACGTATGCAATATCATTCACGCCTCGTGAGCCAATCATACATACCGTGGATTTAAGATTTAATGGAGAGGATGTACCTGGTAGCCCCTTTAGTTGTCAAGTATATAATACTATTATTTTTTTCTTCTAAATTTGAAATATATATATATTACAATTATTTATTATTATTAAACATTAGGTGAGTGATACAGCAAAAGTGATAATAACAGAAGGACTTGAAAAAGTATCTGTAAATCGATTAACAACATTTACAATAGAAGCAGATATATCGTTAGGAACTCCTATTGTAGAAGTTCTCTCACCAACTAGAGAAAGCTTACCAATACATATTAAGCAAAGTGGTCATGGATGTTACACTGCAGGATTCACACCTAAAGATGTTGGTATGTAAATAAATAAATGATTAATAATCACAAACATATTTAAACAAAGAAATATATAAAAATTCTAGGCGATCATAGTGTTGAAGTGAAAATAAATGGATTACATATAGAAGGTAGCCCATTTTTAGTAAAAGCTTATAATGCTGATAAAGTAAAAGTAACAGATATAAATAGTGGTATCGTTGGTAAACCAGTTTTCTTTAGCAGTAAGTAATAGTTTTTATTTTATTTTGTGCACTGATTTATGTATGTTATTGATTAATATTTTAATATATATATATATTACATCTTTTCTTGCATTTTAATCTTAGTTAATGCTAGTCAAGCGGGTGCTGGTAATCTTGAAATTATTGTTGCTGTAAATGGTAAAAATGTACCGAATTACGTACAAAGCGAAGGAAATGCAAAGTTCAGAGTTAATTTTAAACCACAAGAAGCTGCTGTACACAGTCTTAGTGTTCGATTTAATGGAGAACCTGTCCCAGGTATAGAATAAAAAATTCACAGTTGTATATTACGAAAAATTCAAATATATTTTTATTTTTAGGTTCACCATTCAGCTGTAAAGTAGTTGGTGCAGGTCAAGCTATAATTATTGGGCATAATCTAAAAATGGGAGCAGTAAAACAATTAATGTCTTTTATTGTGGATCCACAAGCTTTCTCAACAAATTGTGATGTAATCGTAACACCGCCATCAAACGTATCACTTCCTATTACAATAGAACCTGTAGATGGAAAATATAACATCAGTTTTGTTCCTGTGGAAGTGGGTAGACATAATATCAGCATATTAGTTGACAGTGAACATGTAAAAGGCTCTCCTTTTGCTTGTAATATTTATGATGTTACAAAGGTAATTTATTGAAATGTTTGAATTTATAATTTAGTTAAATATTTTTTTATTTGTTTTATATTTATATAGGTACATGTATCGGGTCTTACGGAAGCATTGTTAGGTCAAGCTACAACATTTACTGTTGATGCTGCTGAAGCTGGTGAAGGCACATTAGAATTAGTGGTGAGCACAGAAAATAATACGGTTAAAGCCGAAGTAGTTGCTTGTGCTCGTGGATTATATGATGTAACATTTGTTCCACAAACCACTAGTACTCATTATGTTAATATCAGTTTCAATGATGATAATGTACCAGGTCTGTTAAGTATTTTAATGTTTCTCTTTTAAATTAGTTATTGATTAATAATCACGATAGTTAATAAAGTTAGTAACATTAAATTTATATCATTTATTAGGAAGTCCGTTTAAATGTCCAATTATTAGTACAATGTTAGATGGACCATCTATGATTCGAGTTGGAAATACAGCATATATGGACTTAGAAATGCCAGGATTAGAAGGGCCTGTTTCTGCAGAAGTTACAGGTAAAATTGTATTTCAAATTGTATTTAATCGTATTATTATATAATACATTTTGTAACATTCAATTATATATGTAATATAGGTCCTGATAGTATAATTATTCCATGCACATTGATGAAATTATCACCCAATTTATATCGAGTAGAAATTCGAACGCGACAGGTCGGTACTTACAGCGTAATATTCAGTGACGGTCATAAAATGATTAGTTCTCAAACACTTCAAGCTTTCGATTCTGGAAAAGTAACAATTAAAGAAGTATCAGATGTAGTTTGTCATCGACCAGGGACCATTACAGGTATATAAAATATAAAATATAATTTTATATTTTATATTAATATTATATTAAATATTTAAATATTAAAATATAAAATATAAAATTTTGTTATAGTGGTTGTATCAAAAGAAGCTGGTCCTGGAAAATTAACTGTAAATGTACGTGCGGCTGGTGCTGATGTTGATAGTGTAATTAGAGAAGGAGAAAATGGTCAATATGATATAATTTTCCATCCTACACGAGCTGCTCCTCATAAAGTTCATATAAAATATAATGAAGTTCATATATTGGGTATAATATATTATCTATTTTTATTTAATTATTTTTTATTATTTTTAATTATATTATTTGCTATATCATTTTTTGTAGGAAGTCCATTAGATTTGACAGTTCGTGGTCCTACTGGAGGTAGAGAAGTTACTGCAACTGGATTAGGATTATACCAATCATGCGTTAATAAAGTAACATCATTTACTATTGAAACTTTAGGAAGTCCTGGAAAAGAATTTGATGTAGTAATCAGTGGACCACAAGGTAATGCAGTTCCAGTTCGATGTTACCAACATCGAGATGGAAATTTGCTTGCTGAGTTTACTACAAGTACTGTCGGTATGTAAAACAAAAATACAAACAATAACAATAATAATATGTATTTAATAATTAAAATATTTTGATTTTATCAGGTACTTATAAAATCGATGTTTTACAAGGTACAAAACCAGTTTTGGGTTCACCTTTTTTTTGTCAAGCTTTTGATGTTTCTAAAGTAAAACTACAAGAATTGGGACCAATGACAGTATCAGTACATGATCATATTGTTTTCAAGAGTATGCATTTTAAAATAATAAAATTAAAAATTAATCTCAAAGTGAAATTATATATTATAAGTGTGATTATAAATTGTTATAGTAATAAAAACAGATGCTGGAATGGCAGATTTGGACGTAGTAGCAACAAGTCCATTAGGTCAAGAACTTCCATTACAAGTTACTCCACTTAACGATGGTGCTGAAATGGTTGAATTTTCTCCTAGTATACCTGGTACATACATGATTAATATTACATATGGTAAGTATACATATATACTTATGGATATATTATTATAAAATATTTAACTTTTATAAAAACTATATTTATTATATTATTTATAATTTTATATTTAGGTGGATATCCAATACCAGATAGTCCATTAGTATGTACAGTTGATGCAGCTGGTCAAGCTCGCGCAAAGGGAGAAGGTTTATTAAGTGGTCATGTAGATAAAACAGCGCATTTTATTGTCACTGGTACAAGAAGTCCGCCAGCAGTTCAGGTATTTATAAAAAAAATGTTTAATTTATTACATTACATTTTCTTAAATTTCATTTATATCGTTTTGTAGGTAGATGGGCCGGATAGTGTTTCGAAAGCAATTATTGAAGCAGGAGCTAATCCAGGTACTTGGAATGTGTCTTATATTCCTACTGAAGCTGGAGTATTCGATATTAGAATCGTTTCTGCTGGTCAACAACTTCCAGGATCTCCGTGGCATCCAAAAATCATAGATACAAGAAATCTTCGCGTAATCGGTTAATATTATTATTATTATAAGAATAATATTAATAAGTTTTTAAAAATATATATATATTTTTTTTTAAGGCGGCTGGCCAGCTGTATGTGATGATGTTGGACGACTAAAAATACATCCATCAATAAAATTAGTTTTGACACTGCTGAAGCTGGACCTGGTGAACTTACTGGGAAAATAGGAGATCATACATTATCTTTTGAAATGACATCAAATAATAGATTGAAACTTATTCCACCAAAATTAAATGGTGGGGAATATCGTTTAGAAATATTCTTTAATGGTATATCTTTCCCAGGTGCTCCAAAATTAGTAATTGTTCAAGATTTAGAGGTAAGATTGAATTTATATTATAGTTAATTTAGAAAATTAATATCTCTTCTTATATTTAGACACCTATACAAGATACAAGTCGAGTTTTATTAAGAGGAAGAGGATTAACATCAGCAAAATGTGGAGAGGAAGTTAGTTTCACAATAGATGGTTCTCAGGCTGGTACAGGAACGCCAAAAGTTCAACTTTTTTCACCAACCAGCGAGCTTAATGTAATGTTACAACATTTAGGTAAATATATTGTTATTTTATTAATGTATAAATAATAATTCCTTCATTTTTTAAATTTTTATTTTTTTTAATTATGATTTTATATATAGGAGATAGCGTTTATCGAGCAAGTTATATACCATTAACTCCCGATCCTCTTTTAATGACTGTATCTTGGAATGGGAGACAATTGAAGGGTTGCCCTTTACAAATAAATGTAACAAACGCAGCTGATGCATCTCGAGTTATTTGTTCCGGAGATGGATTAAAGCATGGAATAGTCGGTCAAGAAATAAGAAGTTTTATAGATACAAGACGTGCAGGTCCTGGTATGTATTATAATTTCAAAATTTTACATTTATTTTTTATACAAATATATGTTAAAAAATAAATATTTCTTGATATTTAGGTGAATTAACGGCCCATTGTGTTGGTCCGCATAAAGTAGCTTATTGTGAATTGTATGATCACGGTGATGCAACATTTACATTAAATGTAAAACCTCAAGAAGCTGGACGCCATGCACTAACAATTAAGTATGCTGGAGAACATGTTCCTGGTTCTCCTTTTACATTACGTGTTTCCGGAGCACCGGATGCTTCAAAGGTAATTTTTTTAACTTTATCTTCATAAAGAATATTTTTTTTCGATTAAAAATAATATATTTGAATCAAAAAAATAATTGAAAATAATTATTTAATAATAGGTTCGAGTTTATGGACCAGGAATTGAACATGGAGTATTAGCAACGTTTCAATCACGATTCATTTGTGATACTCGTGGAGCAGGAGCTGGTCAACTTACGGTGAGAGTTCGTGGCCCTAAAGGAGCGTTTAGAGTAGAAATGCAAAGAGAAACTCAAAAGGATCGTATAATACTTTGTCGATATGATCCAACGGAACCAGGCGATTATAGAGTCGAAGTTCGTTGGGCAGGCGTTCTCGTACCTGGTTCTCCATTTCCTGTTAAAATTGTCGATACTCAAGATGAATTATTAATGTTGACACAGGTAATTAAAATAATAAAAATTCAAATAAATATTAAAATAATAAAAAATTTTACATCTTTTTATTATTTCTAGAATGGAGATAATTATTCAACAGGACATCATACTATTGCCTCATGGCGTGGATCACAAGCTATATTATAAGGCCATTGCATATAAAGTTGTTATTATTTTGTATGAACTAATAATATATTTTCATAATATATAACGAATCTGTAACTTATCTAAAATGTTTGCAATAAAAAAATATTTTGACACAAATTCCTTATATATTATTTATTCTAAATAATATATTTATATATTATATAAATATATATATAATATATATATATATTATATATAAATAATATATTTATTCTAAATAATATATAATATATATACACCATAGAATAAATTTTGTTTTGTAAAAAATAAGAATTACTCCATTTGTAAAAATTATTATAATTAAATTTGCTATGACTTTTTTTTCTTTTCCAATTTACTAAGTTCTCTGAATACATGTTTCTTTAATTCTTTTTGTCTGCTGAGCTTTCGTGCTTCTGCAGCAGCAATTTGTGCTTGATGTGCTTCGATTCTTCGTTTAGTAGCTTCTTTAAGTTGTTTTTGTTATAAGCATAATTAGTTTTAATCATTTTCATAAGTCTTGCTATATTTGTTTCTTTTGGTTCACGTACAACAGCCACTCTGCCATTTTTAAAGTTTGGTTTGTATTTATTAGAACTTGGCGTTAATTTTGGTTTATCTCGATACGGAAGTTCTCTTTGTAAGCTTCGAGGAATAGACAAAGGTTTAAATACTTTTGCTGCTCTTTCAATAGGAGTATACATAGAATCTTTATTAGCACGGATATGAATATTTTTTTCTCTTTTTAACTGCCCAGTTGTTTTCATTCCTTGCCATTGATTTTTTTCTTCAGGAGGTAATAAAAGTGATGTAACGGGATTATAAAATTTTGGAACATCAACTTTATACCAAGTACGACAAAAAACGATATCACTCAAAAGTATTTTATCTTCAAATGTCGCACGGAAACATCCTTCTGGCTTCGAAACGGCTTTTTTTATTGACCGCGTATTCCGGATACAGTTTTTATTTTAGCACCTTCAAATTTTGCAACTTCAAGTGGTGAGTTAAACATATCCTTTATAAAAGCTGTTTTTTTATAAATTTTCATTGGAACACCAGTAAGCTTCAATTTCTTCATAATCTGAGTACTTTTGTCCATTTCTACAATAGAACCAGTTGCTGCTATTCTAAAACCTGGTATTCTAGTTGCAACATCTTGAACTGCTAAGATTCCTGTACCTTGTGGTGTAATAGGACCCCAGAAATGTGCCATACAAGCAACATGTTCTGGAGTATATTTTAACATTCTATTTCTCAAATTATCTTCTAACTTAGAGAAGATTGGTAATGTTTGAAATCTACGCCAGCCTACAGAAAGTATAAGCGGGTCTTTACTTTTTAGAATCTTCGAATACCACCGATGCTTTTTTATTCTTGTTTGTACATATCCTATGTTTTCTTCACCATGTAAAAGACCTCCAATAATTAATGGATATGTGGGGTCTAAATGAGTAATAAGTTCGCACGGTACAGTTTCAATCTCAACACGTACATACATGCCTGGACGATAACCTTCCAACTGTACCCTTATATTATCATCTATACCCTCAAATTCCGATTTATTTAGATTTGCTTGTCTTTCAACTTCAAGTTTTAACTCATCATAATATGTTTTAGTTTCACTGTTATCATATTCTAAATCAAATTGTTCTTTCAATTTTTTCTTTTTTTCCAAAAGCTTTTTCTTTTCTTCTATTTCATCTATTTTTGATTCTTTTGCTATTTTTGTTTCATGTTTCTCTTCAGTTTCTAAATCTTCGAAATCTCCATATAATTCTTCATCGTTTATGTCATCTAATTTTAAAAGTTCTTCTGCATCTTCAGACTCTTTCCATTTTCCAGTTACAAAACGATTCATTACAAGCATTTTATTTTCTTCATTCAACCAATCTCTTTGAGTTTCAGGAAAAAATATACATTCCTCTTGATTTTGTAACTCTCGTAATTGTATTTTTTGTTTTTGTTGTTCTTGAACTACTCGAAAGATACCACCTATTTCATTATCTTCCTGTTCGACATTTTCCACTTTTTCATCTTCCATTTCTGTATAATTTCGATCAAATACTCCATAAACAATTTTCATAAGATTTTTATTATTCCGCTGACGATCTTCAAACGTTTGTCTAGCTTTTTCAATAAGATTTGTCTTCCATTTTATTTCATTTTCAATTTCTTCTTCATCCTCGATCTCTTCATCTTCTTCCATATTATCAATCTCAATATCATTTTCTTTTCGTTCGGATACCTCATGTCGAAATTTAATTTCCTCTTCTGAATTGTCCATTTCTAATCCATCTCGTGAATCTTCATCACTAAGTTCATCAAAACTTTCATCTTCATTATTTATTTCTTTTTTATTTTAAATGAATCTGAATTTAATTGATCCAGAGTTTCTTTAATCTTATTATTTATTAAAATATCCGATTCTTTGCTAAGAGAATGATAAATATTTATATCATTTGAATTTTCTTTTATGATAGATATATCATTCTCTAAATTATTTGAAGAATTTTTTTTCCTTTTAACATTTTGAGATAAATAGATTTTATTTTTTCTCTTAATACCCTTCTTTTCATACATCTCTTTGATTTTGTTTTCATTTTCTTCATTTAATTTTATATTTTCAATATCATCATCATTCTCATCTTCATTTATTTGCTCTTGATCGCTATTTATTTCATCATCTTCATCTTCTTGATCACTATCATCTGACATGTCGGAAGATTTTTCTAACAATTCAGAATCAGGGAATAAAACTTTTCTCCTAACTCTGCCTTTATCAATGATAGTTTCTTCTCTATAACTGTTCAGATCTTCATTTAAATCTTGTGGTTTTATTGGAATAGCATTACTAAATAATTGTAATTCACTGTGTTGTAATTTTTGATCTAATGTTTCTTGGGTATCCATTAAGGCTCCAATCAAACCTGTTTCTTGTTCTTGATAAGAGTGACTACCACCTAATTCAACATAAACAGCATCTTTATCATATACTATACCACCAACACCAGAAAATGGTGCATAAATTAATCGTTCCTTTTCTACTAATGCTCGTTTTTTTAATTCTTCTGGCAAAGGACATGGATCTGGTAAGAAAGTAATATCTTTAATTTTTAAATCTCCACAGCCAGGAATATGTATAGATGTTTCTTTGTTTAGTGGAATTCCTCTTACATATCTATAAATATTACATATAAAATATAAGATTTATATTGAAAATTTGAAATATATAAAACATAATATAAATTTTTACATACCCATATAAACTTATTGTCCTATCAATTTTTGGATTTTGTCTAATTAATTCTGGAGATGTTAAATCTTCTACTCTATCAGCTAGAATATAAGAATGCATGTTACGCCAAGTTAATGGCCTAAATTTCATAACAGAAATAAATCTAGCTAAATTTTTTATTTCTGTACGTAAATATTCTCCATGAATTAATCCAGATAGATAAAATAATTTTGCTCCAGCATAAACTTCTGTCCAAAATCTCTGTTTCAATGTCTTTTTTATCCTTTTTAATTGCTTTGCATTTTTTATTAAATCTAAGTGAGTTAAAATACCCATGATTCTAGGCATACCATGAACCTGACAAATATTTAAAAATTCAAATATTTCCATCTCAAAACCAAAAGATGCATCTATTAAAAGTAATACTAGATCTGCTATTTTAGCAATGTCTATCATACTGTTTATATCATTGTTGCATTCTATAAATGTAATTCTTCTTTTTTTGCCAGAAACAATAGTAACAGGACCAAGAATATTAGTCAATGGTTGCTTTACATAACTTTTAATAAGACATTGAATTACTAAAGATTTTCCAACTTTTGGAGGACCAACAACAGCGACTAAAATAGGAGGTGGTTCAAGAGGTGTTCTATCAACCAATGGTATATGTTGTTTCTTTGTTTCAATATCTTGTTTTCGTCTAAACCGTCTTTCCGCTTTAATGGCAGAATTAAATGTAAATGCTTTTGGATTTTTTTGTTTATCGGTAAGTTCTTGAACATGTTCTTTCTTTTCTTTTAACTTCGACCGCCGTTTTGTCGACATTGCTAAATATCTTTAAATCTAACAATATATCTTCAGAAGTAGTACCTCACGTCGTAATTCTTATATAATACTGTAAATAATGCTATATTAATTATATTATTATAATTATTTCGTAATTGCAGATTTCACTTTAATGTTAAGGTTATGTTAAGGTACACTCTTACTTAAGTATTTACTTTCGATTGGCAACTTACCAGCATTGCACTTAAATTTTTCATATATATTAATATATATTAACAAGATGCAATATTTAAAAATATTTCAGTATTAAAATATTATATAATTAATTTAATAATGAATAAATAATATAATTTGCAATAGAACATTAATAATATAGACAAGCGTTTATCACGTGGTGACTACGAAAACTGACATTTATTATAGAATAACATTATTTATAGTCTTGTTTATTATAAAGAGATTATAAAAATTATAATTTGTGAATAAAATAATATAATATTTTCTAATCATTTGTTAATAAAATGTTACAATAATAATTAGAAAAATTTATTATATTATTGAAAAATATTTTATAAAATTTCACTTAGTACCATCTTTTTACCGCTAGATGGTTTTAGTATTCTGTTTTGATATAATATTAAATTTTATTTTTATTTAATGAAATTTTTCAAAGAATTTTATGAATGAAGATCTGAAAATTTTTATAGATAGAATTGTTGAATCATTTGAAAACATAAAAGAAAGATCAGGGAGTTTATATATTAGAACGGAATATCATTCATGTTATCGTTATTTCCCTTGGGTCAGACGGTTCTAGATTTCGATTGAAAAGTCATCGATCAAAGGTATCTTAATTCATACAATGGCCGATGATGTAAAATTTGGAGATATGATCGATCGTTGTTCAGCGTTCGGGGCAATGAACTGGTTGCACCGAATGCAACACTACATCACTCTATGAAAGTAAAAATGAACAAAATTAAGAATGAAAAAATTAAGATTAAAAAGAAGTATACCACGATTGTTCCGGTCTGTCAAATCGGTTCGTGACAGCTGTCATCTATGAAAATCACGCCTAAAAAAATTGTTTAATATACAACCGCAGATTTACGACGGTTTGCACAGCACTTGTTTTCAATTGAGATATTTTGAACCACAACGAATTACTGTGACGATTGGGGTGGCTTTTAAATGGAAGTTTAATTTTAGGGTGTGCACATTTCTATTCAACTTCACAAATGTATATATTCATTATATCAAGTTAATTAAGTTATATTTTTCCATCTTTCCTTAATTATTGATGAAAATGTACAATGTTTTTTCTTGAAGATTAACGTTTTCACTGTATACGAGAATCAATTTAATTGAAATTAGATCGAAGACATGAGAAAGCAATTGCGAATTAATTTTTGGTTAGAAATTGAATTTAACTCGATGGATCTGTAATTTGAGTTGGACAACAGTTAATCGAGGATTTGATTAATTGTGAAAGGCAAGTCATAGTATGGCACAGATGGTATCGAACGACGTACTCTATGACTTGTCGAATTTTCCGATATTAGAATTTTAGACATTATTCTATGATAAACTTTGCTCGAATTACTCGTTAAAGAGAGAGAGAGAGAGAGAGAGAGAGAGAGAGAGAGAGAGAAGAAAGAAAAAGAAAAAGAAA